AGTTGGTCACGATTTGTTGTAATGCTTTGTATTATAATACAGAGACAAGACAGGTTGTGCCCAAGCTTCCAACTGTGGTACAATTTTATACGCGTTCCGAACTCAGACAGAGGCGTTCCATTCGTTACGTCAAAAAGTGCGTGGTCTGCATCAGTCGCGAGGACAGGGGTAAGCAAACAGCGAATGTAGGAAATGGAGGCCTGCGTGACAATTTTGACGTTGGCATGAGGACCGAATGAACGCAATTGAAAAGTGACGCGTCCAGCGTCTCTGTGAAACACGCCTTGTGTCTCTGACGGACACATCTTGTGTCTGCGAAGGACTTGCCCAGTGTCCGTGACGGACGCACTCAGTGTCTCTGCAAGGGATGCCAGCACGCTCGTAACACCACAGAGTGAATGAATGATGATGAGTGGAGCGAAGCTTGAAAGGGTTTTATTGGTAAATCGTGAATCTTCCGTTCGTACGTCTTTGTCTGTCTGTCCATCCATCCGCCTGCCTGTCTGTTTGTCTGTCCGTCCATCTGTCTGTCTACGACAATGGAAACAGACAGACGGGGTGGCTACGGCAACGAAGGAAGGATTGAGGCACAGCGTATGTGCATGACGCCCCCTGCGACGCCATGTTCTCAAATAACCCGAATACTAAAAAGGCGCGAAGTGCTTACTTTTTTTTCAATTTAATCCATGCCGCCTCACTGCCATTTCAATCCATGTTTCGTTTAGATCATGGCGTTGAGATGTGGCACTCTGCTTCCCTCACTTTTTTTTTATCTTGCAATGCATGATTTAGGAAAAGTGAGCTTTCTTTTATTTGAGCAGAGTGTCTCGGCCGCCGCCGATGTATTTGCTAGCAGTACTGACCATTGTACTATGTGGGTGAGCCCAAATCGCTTTCTTCCCTTTGCCCTACTGCATTGTTCCGTCGAGTGTTTTGAATGTACGCAGAGGGACTGATGTAACCCGTGGCTGGTTCTCTTTTGGACATCGACTTCGCCAGGAATGTAGTCATGAGATCAAGCGATGGACATACCTGGCACCTGTGGGACAGCCTGCAGTGCGGCACGGCACCTTCGTGAGTGCTGGTCGCAACCAAAAGACGTGTCGGCGCGAGTCACAGTTTCTCGTGCCGACGGCAATGTTGCCGTTGTGGGATCAGTACTGAGGTGAAGTCGTCAAGCAGCACAGGGCAGCAGTGTCGCCCGATGGCGGTGTCGTGGTGCATAGACATTCTTTAGGGACATGTGTTGTCATCTTTTGTTAGAGCTTGTGTGACTGATTTCTTTCATTTTTTTTTTTTTTTCGAGATATGGTATAAATTAAGGCTGAGGGAATGTGGAAGTGCTAACACCCCCGATAAAGTTGGTTGCACTTAAAGGCACCAACCTAAAGGCACCGTATACAACCTAAAGGCACCAAGTCTGCCAGTACGAGACCCTCTTTAATGAATAAGGCAAAGAAGTGTATACCTAAGGGTTTTCGCCCGAGATCGTTGTACATTACTTTCGTTTTCTGTAGATTAACTTTAAGACCTACCTTTCTGCTCTGCTTGTCTAATCCAGTTCTCACGAGTTTCAGTTTGTTTCCTGAGTTACCCCGCAATGCAATGTCATTGGTGAAATGCAGGTTACTAAGGTTACTAAGGTATTGTCTATTAACTCTTATCCGTAACTCTTCCAATTCAAGGCCTCTAAAAACCTCCTGTAAGCACACGGTAAATAGCATTAGGGAGATTATATCCCCTTGTCCTACACTCTTCTTGGTTGGTATTCTGTCACTTTCTTTATTGAGACTTATCGTGGCAGTTAATCCTCTGTAGATTTCTTCCAGGATGTTTCTCTGTCGATGCCCCGATTCAGCAGTGTCTGCATGACTGCTCATATCTCTGCTGAATCAAATGCCTCCTCGTAATCTATGAAGGCTATGTATAGTGATTGGCTTTATTCTGAGCATTTCTCTATTACCTGATTGATAGTATGAATGTGGTCGATTTTAAAGTAGCCTGTTCGAAATTCTGCTTGTTCCTTTGGTTGACTGAATTCTAATGTGGTCTTCATTCTGTTAGCAATTACCTTTGTAAATAGCTTGTATACGATGGAGAAATCTACGCTACACTAAAGTTGAGGTAATTGGATACTTTGTGTTTCATTGTGAAAAGAAAATTCAACAGGCCCCCTCCTGTGGGGGAAATAGTCGGTAAATTCAGACCACTGCATAGTGTAAAAGGTCTGGCGTCTAGAAAGAACTTTTCTGGAACTCAATTAGGCAAACAGTAGGATAAAAGTTTGTAACAACAACTAAAACTAAATACTGACTTATAGTAATGCATGTACACACTGACTGCAATCAATGTACGTGAGGTTATATGCCGGACAGAACGTTTAAAGAAATCATTCTTCCCAAAACTATCCAAGACAGGAATAAGCTACCCGCGAACATCGTCGACATAGTTTCAAATGAAATGTTTTTGCACTGCTGAAATGATTGTTTCCTTGATCTTTTTTGGATGTAATGTATCTATTATAGCTTATTCTGTTAATTTTGTATGTTTTTTTTTCTTATTCCTCTCACAGTATGTGGAAGAGAACCGTGGCAATACTCCTATATCAAATCACTTATTTTGCTTTTGTTGAAGTGACTTAACCTGAAAGTGTGTGTGTGTGTCTTTTTTTGACATCTATAGTATACTGCTTTGAATTATGTATGTTGTCAATCTGCTGTAGTTATGGTTGTTATTATTATGATTGCCAACGCTTTATGTATGACAAATATTGAACTGTGTAGACTTGCTGTAAACCCCTTCCTCACTGTAATGCCTCTGACGCTGTGGATACCAAATAAATAAATAAACAAATAATAAACAATAAATCAAGTAAACAACTGTCACACATATCACTACTACTAAACAACACTGTAGTAGCATAAAAAAATTTCAATGTAGCATGGGGGAGTTGCAACAGTGCAGCAACAGTGTGCCTGCCCCTTCTCCTTCCATTTTCTTCGGCTAGAGACCAAGAGCCGTCAATCAAGAGCCGCCAACTTGACTTTAGTGTACAGTCGAACCTCGATGTATCGAACGGCGTGGCGATCGCGAAATAGTTCGATATAAAAAAATCACGAAAAAAATGCGTCAACAGTTTGCTGAAAACGATCAACGAACCGTTTAAAATATTGAAAAAAAGTTGCCTGCTTTTTGTTGGCCATGGCGTGTTTGACGACTGCGTCCTCAATATAGTCCAGGCGATCCATAAGTGATAGGCCAGTGCCTTCAATCGCGCCGCAGTGGTGGCGCACAAGGGCCAAGGCAGCTACGACCTTAGCTGATGTCGGGAGCGGGGCATCATCAGCACTAGCGGGATCCACTTTGGCAGGGTCTTCATTTGGCTGCTCAGCAGTAGCTTTGGCGACAATCTCCACATCCGTGAGCTCCGCCCTTCGGAGTTAGGCCTGTAGCGCGCGACAAGCCTAACTCCAAACGCACGAACACTGCGAGCACAACGACCGAGGCCTGCCGATGCTACGGGGGAGGAGCTTGCAACAAGTGCGCAGTGTGCCATTGACACCATAGAGACTGCAACGACTGCAAGCTGCAAGGCTGCGGCGTGAGTCCGGGTGTAAAGCGCGCACATGGCGCACCCATGCCGGCTCGCCTGACTGCTTTCCCTTTCCCGGCAACAGCGCGGGCCGTGTCCGAAACAGTCGTCTGCGTCCTTTCCCTCCTATACTTTCCTCCTCAATCTTTACCTCCCACTCCCCCTTCCCCCGCGCGAAGCCGTGTCGGTGCCTTCGTATTGAAAGAAAATAACAGCTCCGCGCTTTTTTCTTCACTTTCCTCATTCAAGAACCTCTACCGCAAGGCTGCGGCGCGCGTGCGCCGCTACGTTAAAGTGGCGCCCGCGGCGCCATCGATGTGTGCAGCATTCGTAAACGCCCGCCGCTCTATCGCTACTTTCGAGAGTTGCGGGAAAGCTCGCCGCCTGTCAATGGAGCGCGGGCGGTTTGGGGTGGCTGAGTTCGATATATCCATTATATGTCAAACTTTGTTCGAAATAAAAAAAGTCAATAATGCATGCAATTTCCGCGTGATATAAGAACCGTTTCATACAGGCAATAATTCGATATATCCGTGTTCGATATATTGAAGTTTGACTGTACTGCTGGAATAAAAAATTTATATGCAACCGTACAGTATTGATACCTCAATTCAACTTTGGCATCCACTTGTTCTCCAAAAGACTGGCAAGTGTAGCATCATGCACCAGCATTTTGTGCAGTTTGGTGCATCATCACTGCACCCTAGAGGACTGCTGCAAGACTGCTCCCAAGAGTTGGCTCAGTTTGTGGGACACAGTCAAATCACTTACCCCACCCCCTCCTTGGATTCGCCAATGATTTATGCAAAATAAAAATCTACCGCAATAGAAAGCAGTTGTTGGCACACAGGCGACTAGTGGAAACTGGTGAAATGTTGATTCGGCCACTGCCTCAAAACTAGTTTCGCAACAGCTCAAATGTAGAGCACAGGGAGCATTTATTTGATAATGCTTTTAAGAACATTTAAAAAATAAGATAGAGGCACATCGCTTTTATTTTCCAGTTACAGTCATTGCTATTGTTGTTAATATTATTCTTATTTGGTTTGGATATACAGAAAAAACAGAATAAATTGCATCTTCGTGCCATTTGTACACCACTCGATAAAACTGCATAGTACTTATAACAACAATACCATATTGAAATGGCTCTTCAATGACGTTGTGTCACAAATGAAGCGATGGTATAGTCTTTGTGCCACAAGATCTGCATCACATGCTGTTTTCTAGTAACAGTCAGCAAGTGTACAGAGCCTGCAATCAAACTCCTCAGGTGCACTGGCAAAGGGCTTCTAATTTGGTGAATGAAACCGCAGATAAAGAAATAAAAAGGTCACTGCTAAGCGAGCTCTGTCATGGAAGACTCTCACTATGAAACTAAAGTCATAGGACTGTGAAAGGAACTCACCGGACAGCATTCTTGAGCAGCTCGGGAATGATGTAATCTAGGGGCATCTGAATATATGGAAAGGAGCAGTTCAGGTGTCCATTGTACTTGAAAGGAGGCGCCTTACCGTACTTGTGCACTGACACTTGCCTGAAAGAGGACCCAGCTGTTGTCTCACTTGCCATTTCGCCTTACCCACCTTCTTGTGAGCTCATTTTAAGGGCATTACAAAAGGATGTGCAGCACGCAAACAAACACGAAAAACCCTTTGAAGCATTGCTGCCACAAAAGTTTTTTGCCCTGCTGGAATGATTGTTTCCTTTTTTGGACGTAATGTATCTACTATAGTTTATTATAGTATTATTGTAAGTTTTTCTTCTTTTTTTTTCTTATCCCTCTCACAGTATGTATAAGAGAGCCGGGGCAATATTCCACCACCAGATATTTTGCGAGAATATTAGAAGGGATAAAATGAGAGCACTTGAATGAAACTGAAGGCCTAAGATCCTGCAACGCAGCTGGCCGAAGATGAGTAACAGCATTTCATCCCCATTTAAAGGAGCACTGACACAAGATTTCAAAGACGAGATAATGAGTGGGAATAGATTTATATAGAGACACACAAAACATGCACAAAATCTCAAGTGCTAATATAGCCTAGAACATATTTACAATCAATTTTAAAGTTGATGCCGCACAACTGAGCTTATATGCGGAGCCCCTTGTGACACCTACATAACCACAGCGGGAGTGTAAACAAACCTACGTCACGAGTGCAGCACCCACTTGCGCATGCTCTTGTGCATGGCGACCATGCTACAGTTTTGCGTGGTAACAAGGCCAGCTGTGCTTTGCCTTGCTACCGGAACTGCGCCTGCTCAGCACTTTCAAACCGAAACTGCGACTGGGCACTCTAAATAAACAGCCGCTGTGCACTCGGCCAAACGACGTTTTCAGCTGCGATAAGTGGCTCATAAGCTAACTGTGGCAACAAAAAAAAAATCAAGGTGCAATATTTTTGTGTCAGTGCTCCTTTGAGGCAGATGCTGAAAAGTAAAGAAGAGGACGCTATACTTGTGCGCCAAAAGCAGAAAACACTCGAGGGCCATCACCTAAAATCCCTCCTTCTCCCAAGCCTGTAGCCATGGAGGGAGGGGGCCCCTCCCCCCCCCATTGAAATTCACATAGAGAGGGGGTTTACTGAGGGAAAATAATACAAATAGGTGTTTTTCAAGGTTTTCATCAAGTGCCCTACAGGAAACAATTCCTGGCTACAGGCCTACCTCCCACTCACTTCTCTTTCACACCCTGCACTTGATTAACCCAACAACTCCCATATTCCCACACGAGTGCTCCTAGAATCTCAATATCTAGTGAACTAACCTGGGCTGCTGAGCCACCTTGTTCATGATTTTTTGCAAAAATAGGCAAACAGTCAAAGGAACATGAAAGAGAAACCACATCAACATCCACTAGTTAAGAACTAAACCACAATTAAGAACTAAAGACAACACAGGAGGAAGAAGCAAAACGCCCTCTGTCATTGCTGGTGCTTTTGCCATTGCTCATTAGTGAGAGCCTCCAATGTATCTGGTGGAACATGCTGGTTCCGTTTTCTCCTTCTTCCCCACCTAGACTGAACCTCCAGCTATGCCTACACAACTACACTCCATACCATGCATCAAGTGCATTGCTAGCAAGACTTCGTGCGGCATAGTTGTTTTCATCAAGAGGCAGTTCAGAAACATTGCCACCTGCAATGCCATTCTCTTTCAGTTTCATGAAGATTGTTTGTGCCTTGGGAATAAACAAGCTCCCTCATATGGCTGTCAGTATGTTGTTCTGGATCACTTAGTATCTACTTATTTTCGTTCCTTTTTGTTCTTCATTTGCAGCCTGCAATCGAAAACAGCATGGGCAATGCAGAGGAAGCACACAAATTACTGATTATTAAACTATATTTTGACAAAAGGTGTTAATAAATACATAGTAGGCCGGAGCACTTCACCACAAATGAAATACAGACAAACCAAGAAAAAGTACAGAGAAGAAATGCTGTCATCACGTGATGATGCGTATGCACGGCACAAGTGGTGAAATCATGATAAGGTAGCTGGGAGAATTTCTGTGGGGCAGTAAAATACCAGATGGGTGCATTGACACAGTAACCTTTTTGCAAGGCAATCTTATGCACTTTAAGTATTTCTCATGTCATTCCATAACTGCTTCTTGATGGCTTATCTGATTCGGGGGACGGCCGAATCGCTTGCAATGTATGCTTGAATGACAAACAGCTCTTGTTGCATTGCGGTGCTCGTGAAGGTTGTCATTTAAACATAATAACTAATGTTTAAACTACTTTTCAGTAAACAAAGAGATGCTGTAGACATTACAAACTCAAGACATGAATGCCCACTCGTGTTGCCCGCTACAAGCGAAACTTTCCTAGGGAGAGTTGTTACACGGTTACACAATTCAGACAGCTCATTTGGGGCACTCTCAGAGACTATCTTGCAGGCGAATCTACTTCAAATTATGTGAAACTTTATGCCATTTTTGTGTGGTAGAAAGTGAGAATCGAAGTGTGCGGGCGATTGTCGTGTGGTCATGAAAGGAGAACGACAATAAGTGGATCTTGCGCCGGTAAGTTGGCGATGGCACTGGTCTGAGCTGCCTGGAAGAAACCCGCATTCCCAGTCGTCAGTGGTGCTCGCATCCCAAGCCTTCAACTGGAGGCCACTCGTTCCAGTGCAGCTAAGCTGTGTCCTACACTTCTACTATGCTGGGGAACCTTCGAGACCATACCGGCGCCAGGACCTACGGTGACTGCGTCATTGTGCGGCCCGATACACCGCGAGTGTGTCATGTTCAGTCTGCTAGACCCAACTGACTAGGTGGCAGACTGGAGCATGTTTCATTTGTGTCTGTTGTGTAACACACGCATCTATTCTCGAGATGCTTGTCTTGTTTGAGAGTCCTCCACACACTAGTGACCGATTATTAGTGATGAGCGTTGCCTATATGACATTTTAATTTGGTTTTGAAGTAAGGGTGAGTATTCAGGTTCAATCAATATTTTCTGTAATGTGACATAGATGGGGCCCTCGTGTGACGTTGCAGAGGTGAAGCAAGCATTGCAGAGAACATTTTCGGGCCGCACGCAATTATACAGACTGGCTTCCGGGCAGGGCTATTGCCGGGCTGATCTCAAGGTGGTTTTGGACGCCGGGATGCTTCTATTTTTTTTCTGAGGGGATAAACGTTCAAAGCTCCCACATTGTTTCATTCTTCACCCACAGGTCTACCTATTTTCGTTCATCGTCACCGAAGCTTGAGCCCGCACGGTCTCGCGTGGTGCCCCACGTTGGGGCGCTAGTTTCTTATCAAGTTATAGGTACTTAGGCAGGAGTTTCGAACAGACGCAAAATCTTTCTGTATTAACGATACTAGCTTTAATTACACGATGCATTAGGGCATTTATAGTTCAATACAACACTACTATAAAAGTCGCAAACAACAATTTCGCTGTCAAGGATGTTTCCATTAGTCCACCAATGTGCATAAGAGGCCTGCATCTAAATCGTCGCAGTATCAGTGCAAACCTTCCTATGGCTAGTGTTTTTGAGATCAAAGAGTAGGCCATACAAGTTTGTTGGCTAATGATTCGTTTTTCCCATTTGTGTAATTCGCAAGGCCGTAATTTGGCATAAATGATGGAAACGTGCAAATGAACACAACCACTGAATTTCATACTGAAACGAAGGCGATTTTTTTGGTCAATGGATCGTATTGTAACGCGAACTGAAAGAGCGAGGAAGAAGAAGAGATCGGACGCTCTACCGTCACTGCCGAATCACCATCCCTCGAGAGCATCCGATCTCTTCTTCTTCCTCGCTCTTTCAGTCCGCGTTACAATACGATCCATTGACCTAAATAATCGCTGGAGTTGGCCTTCAAGGCTTATTTTTATTTACATAAAAATTGAAATCACACACTGTAAGAAGATTTAAAAACCTGCTGCAACAGTACTGTGCCTTTCAGGATGGTCAAAAACTGGTACAATGACAGTTGCTATTTCCATACAATCTCGCACAGGTATTGAATGCGGGTGTACACAACAATTTGTATACGGATCAGAAAATTTGCATACAAATCAGAAAAAGATGAAAGCACTAGGAACCGCCAAAGACGAGCGGTGACTTCCAGCAGGTTCTTCACTTAATAAAACATGCATTTAAAATTAGAGTAGACTCTCATTAAATGGAAATCTGCTAAACTGTACTACTGCTTAAACGGAACTCTTGCCTCTGCAGTGCTTGGTTTTGGGCATGTATTGAGCCCCCGTGTTCACCTCTCAGTTAATGAAACTCCTATTATATGAAACATATTTTTCCAGTCCCTTCAGGTTTCGTTTACTGAGAGTCTTCTGTACGTACATGAGATGGTACCACCTCGTGTGCATAGTTATAGCACATGCATGTCCATGCAATTTTAAAAACTTGTTGTTGACAACTAAATTTGATCTTGATGAAAACATTTTTATTATTTCGTTTTAAATGTTCTTCAGCCACCTAGTGACCAGTTCTGTGTCACCCAGGAACAAATGAAAGGATAGCCTTACATGAGTGTGATGTACAGAGCAGAACACGACACTACACAACGGTCATCTCGTTGGCTGCTCCACAGTGGCCAATTCACTTTTCTTCCCATTGCAATACACATCCCTTAGGATGCAAAAGCAACCAGCAAGTTTGTGCATAGCTGCATGAACCACATATATTTGAGTGGCGACCCCTACGCTGTGTGCTTCACACGCAGCACACGACACAGAATAATTGACTGAAAGCCCCCCCCCCCCCCCCCCAGTACAGCCAGTTGAGTGCCCACAAAGAAAGCAGGCAGCAGGGCTCTTGTGGAAGGAGTGAGAGGGAAGAGGAGGACCCTCCATGTGCTGGGAAACGCCGTGGCTCACACTGGCATGCAGCTGCCGCACGCGAACAAAAACAGCCAACTGTTCAAAAGTATGCGACGTAAACTCTGTTTATAAGACAGTAATGCCTTCCGAGTAGAATTGTGATGTTCTCGAAAGTTTGTCCAAATGTTGTTCAGTATAATCACTTTAAAAAAATCTCAGTGACACGATCATGCCT